ACTTTAATAAAAACAGTAGCAGGATTTTTATGTGTGAAAAATGTTATATTTTATTGTAAAATATGCTTTATTTTTAAAATAAAAATTCTTGTTGTATATACTAACAAGGTTATAAAGAAATCAAGAAATTATAGTCTAAATTTTTTTGGAATGAAAAGAACGAATATTTTTACTCAAGTAATAATAAAAATATTTCCTTATAAGGCCCTATTAAAATATTGTCTTATGAGACCCTGTTGATATTGCTTTATAATTGTCTTATAATATTGTCTTATAAGGATCCGTTAAATCATTTGTTACACATCTTATAGGGCCCTTGTCTTTCTATCTCTACTAGGGCTCAATTAATGTCAGGGAAAAATAATCAGGCCCTTGCTAAGGCCCAATTAATTTTTCTACTCGGGATGTTTCTCGCCAGTTTGTGATTTCTTAATTCGCACATACGCATTACAATTCTCTCTTTCTACCCGAAACGTCAGCTCCTTTCGATCCGACTTCGTCCTCGATTTTCCCACACGCGGCAGCTTCGTAACTTTCGTTACGATCGTTAGTCTCGTGACGCAACATGATTCCACAAAGTTACAAATTAGAGCGCGTCGACGCGGAATAAGCGCGGTTCCGATCGGCTTTCGCTCGCACGGTCGCTCCGCCTCGCCTCGAAAGCGCGACCCGCTTTTCTGTAAAACAGTCTGCGAGCAGAAACAACGGATCCCACGTCGGAAACGCACGTCGGAAACGACGCCGGTGTCGGTGCGCCGACGGAGAAAACATCTCCGTAGCCGAGCGACGCGCGCGCGCGCAATTTTCAGGGGCGTCGCTCATTTGCACGGCGGCCGCAAGTGGCGTCGTTCTTTAAAGGTGCGTTCCGCGGTAATTAAGACGCAAAGGGCTCTGCTTAATTGGAGGAACATGCGGATACGCCGTGCGCTCGCTCCCGCGCTTTCTGCCGTCGCTCTTCCACCACCGCTACCACGTCCTTCTCCTCCTCCTCTTCTCCTCTTGCAGCTTCGAGGACCAGGGATATCCTGACCTGGGTGGACATCAAAGCGGCAGCTAAAAGGGGCGACTGTACGCTCTCGCCCGAGCCTGCGAGAGCAGGCTTAAGGGGTGGGATTCGCCCCCTATGCGGATGTATCCTCGCAACCCCTGCGGCGACGACGGGACAAAGAGGACGAACGAGCGAGCGAATGAGAGGAGGATGGAGGGAATAGAGTTCTCTTCGTCGCGTGAGAGAAAGAGAGGGAGAAGGAAAGAGAGAGAGAGAGAGAGAGAGAAGCTCTCTCATCCTGGGGCAATCGCGGTTTTTCAAAATCGACCACGTCATGATGGCGTGTTGGCAAAAGAGACTCGTTAAGTGGCGGTGGGGCATTATCGTAACAGGGAACCGTCGAACACCGAGTGCATTATGACTTCAGTAGACGGAGAGGAAGGAGAGGAGGAGGGAAAGGGGGGTGGGGAAGAGAGAAAGAAAAATCGCGCGATGCAGATGGAAACATGAAACACGTCGGCCGGGCGCGAGGTGATCTCGAATAAACGCGAACTTCACCCACGGCTAGCTCTCTCGGCTAGCACTTCAAGTTCTCACGCGTCATTTCGCGCATGGGTCCGCGGAGCTGCGCCACCCCCCCCCTCCTTCCCCGCCCCGAAAGCACGAATTTATCGCGGGCGGCGCTTGGGATTGTTGTTGCTTCATCCCCCGTCCACCCTCGCTGTTTTCCTCCTCCTTTTTCGGTCGCTCGCTCTTCCGCGAGATCGGCGCGACCTCGATTTCCGTCGCAACGGCCGAGCGAGAAAAGCGCGAACCGCAGCGTCAGCGCGCGAGACGCGGATCAAATTACCATCCCCGGTAGCAGTCGCGCAATATCCGAGCCGAGCTCCTTCGGCAAAGCGAAGGGAGCGGAAAGGGAGAGCGCTCGCGCGGGTCCGCTTATCCCGACGCGCCTTATCGCGGCGTAAGCAAAGCTCCCGGAGCGAAATTTATTATACGACACAGCGCGCACGCGCGCACGCTCACGCCCATAATGCAAATGCGACGACGCCGTCGCGGAGATCTTAAAACGCCTTAATCTGCATCGCGGCAATATTTTTCCGTAGAATAAGATTAATGTTATCCAGGTATGCGCCCTCCCCTCCCACCCCCACCTCCTCCCCCGCTATATTCGTCATATTCGCTCGAGCCGGCGCGGCTCGTTGGGTTTATCATGTTCTCAGCTTACCCGCTTCGTACTCGCGCCTCCCTCCGCGCGCGCGCGCGCGCGCGCCGCACGCGACTTAAATACGGCGAGTCGCAATCAGAGGCGCATTAAAATAAGCCGCCCCGTCCGCGTCGCGTCGGTCTCTCTCGGTCGGCGAGAGCCGCGCGCGCGCTGCCATATCGCGGCGAAGAATCGACGTGCGTGTGCGCGCACTTTCGAGATCTGCCGCCGTGTCTCCGTCGGGTCACGGAACCGGCTGTTTTGCGGCGAGCGCGTCTATTAACTCCCCGTGTCACGCAGGCCCCGGCGATGCATTTAAAAATTTAGAGTCCCAAGCCCGCGGATGAAAATCATGCTGACGGCGGCGTGATCGCGCTGTAATCGCGAGCGCACTCAATTAGCGCGGGCGGCCAGTCGGGCGGCGTGCTTTCGTTCCTCTCGAGTCGAACGTTCCGCTGCTGCGAGGATCTTAAAGGGAAAGGGCCGCATCGTCGTCTTTTTACGAGGGCGCGCGGGATCGATAAAGACGAGGAGGAGGATGAAGCGCGGGAATGCGGAAGTCGGGCGCGTTTTATTCCGGCGAAATCGCCTCGTCTGAATAATTAACCCCTTGCGCTGGAATTTCATCGCCTGCGCGCAAGGCGTCTATGTGTGTCTATTTTAGTCGACTGTCTCGGATAGAACAGAAGTGTACAGAAGTGTACAGTATGTTTAGAAAAAAGGAGAGACAAAAAGGAGAGACAGAATGGAAGGACGAAAAATTGATATTGTCGGAGTTGTGAACAATTTTATTTATAATGTGAAATATTTATTTTAATTATTTATTTTAATATGTATTTTATTTGAAACATTTATTTTAATTATTTATTTTATTTGTTTTAATTATTTAATTTGTTTATTATGTGAAATATCTATTTTAATTATAGCAGATAAGACCCACTCGCTTCTAGTGCTTGCAAAGTTTACCAAAGATTTTCTATTCCTCCTACTTTTACACATACTTTATATCTTCGTACTATAAAATTGCGAAATTTTTTTGAAAAATTGCCGGATTTATTCTAACTATTTGACAGGCATTTTGCATTCTCTGATATAATTCGTCCTATATTTAAACAGATCCTTCGATGAAAGATCTGAATTGGCTCCCTCGCTCTCCTGATTTAAATCCCCTGAACTTTTTTCTATAGGGATTTCTTAAAAGCATGGTGTACTCTTTACCGATAAATGCATGGACGAATTACGTCAGAAAATGTTTGTCAAATAGTGTTAAATTACATAACTTTTCAATTTAATAATAGAAACATATAGATCGAAATAAAGTAATAACAATTTATTAATATTTTCATACCTTCAGTCATTATTGATTAATTCTTATATTTCTTACGCTTGATAACAAAATGCAACTCGGATTGCATTCACACAATAGGTGATTATTATTCGCAGAAGTATTTTTCACTTTCTTAAAAAGGTGGTGACAACTCGCGCGGGGTTTCTCATCACTTGCTTATAAAAGTAGACAGCGAACTAAAACGTCAGGTCATTTTAATTATACCTCAGTTTAAGCTCAGCTCAACTCAGCTCATTTTAAGCTCATTTAAAGGTCATTATACGTCAAGGTGATTTAAATTATAAAGCTAATATCTTAGATTTTAGTTCATTCAGTGGCTGCATATACATATCATTTATTAAAATTTTGGTTAAAAGGTTGAGTATCAACTGTTGTTGTGAATTTTAATTCTGAGTAGTAATCTTTACGTAAAAGCGTTATTTAATTCATTGATTAATACATTGATTAATAAAAAGTTTTCTTAAGAAAAATTTAAATTATCTTATATTTTAATATTTTCATTTTCTGCTTCCTTTCAAATTCAATTTACATTTACAAACGTTTCACTAACATTTCACGCAAATTCGTCCATTCCGAGATAAATTGGTTCATTAAATCCTCTGGCCTCAAAGTAACACGGACACGACGTGACAATAGGAACAAAGCCGGGAATTTTTGAAAGAGTTCGCAAACCTATGGTATGAAGATGTAAAAGGTATGTAGAAATAGGAGGAACATGAAGAAAAACTTTGTAAGCGAGTAGGTCAGTTGCTTTAGTCAAAATAAATAACTGCTCATAACTTCGATGATATGAATTTTCCGACCCATGTTTGTCAGAATTTTTCCCTTCCATTTCCATCTGCCCCTATAGCTCTAAAACCTTTTTCCAAATATCTTGTATACCTGTTACGTTTGATTTTGCCTCGTAAACTACTTAAAAGACGTGATTCTGATGAAAGACTTCAATTTATAGTTAGTAGTGTCGCTAAGTCGCTATTAGGTCGTTAAATATGAAATGTTTAATTTCCTTAAGTACTACATTCGACAGTCGATATCTCTCTGACACTTTTTCAGTTCTTGGTTCTTTTGTTGTGAAGGTACATCATTACTCTTTCAAACGTTTTGACTTGTGATTATCTTTCGAGTTGTCTTTATTACAGCAATTTTTGTGTAACCATGAATAAGTCAAAAGTTCGTGTTATTTTCGAATATGAGTTCCGACGCGGAACTAATGCAGCGCAGACAACTTGAAATATCAACGAATTGTTTGGTGAAGATGTGGCTAGTGAACGCACGGTACATCGATGAATTGCAAGGTTTGTTCTGGCGATTTTAATCTTGAAAATGAGCCACGTGGACGACCAAAGACCAAGGTGGATAATGATGAGCTAAAAGCTGTGGTGGAAGTAGATATATCTCAAATCATGTGTGAATTAGCGATAAGGTTTAACGTTACTATCCTAACAATATTGGACCACTTGAAACAAACTGGCAAGGTAAAGAAGCTGGATAGATGAGTTCCGCATGAATTAAACGAGTGTCAGAAGAGAAATCGTTTCGAAGCTTGCCATTCTTTACTATCAGGACATAAAGGCGAACCATTTTTACATCGTATCGTATTGTTACGTGTGATAAAAAGTGGATTCTTTTCAACAATCGCAAGCGTTCGGTTCACAATGATTGGATATAGATGAAGTGCCGAAACGCAGTCCGAAACCGAACATTCACAAAAGAAAGCTAATGATGTCTGTTTGGTGGTCCAGTGCTGGTATTATCCACTACAGCTTTATGAAACCTGGTCAACCGATTACAGCGGATGTCTACTGTAACCAACTGGACGAAATGATGAGGATGCTTGCGATTAAGCAGCCGAGATTGATCAATAGAGACTGGCCAATCCTCTTGCAAGACAATGCTCGACCACATGTCGTACAAACAACGTTGCTCAAACTACAGGAGCTGGACCTGGGAACTCTCTGTCATCCACCGTATTCATCAGATCTTGCACCAACTGACTACCACTTCGTCCAGGCACTGGACCACTTCTTGCAAGGAAAAATATTCAATTCTCAACAAGCTGTGAAAAAACGCCTTCCACGATTTCATCGTCATCCGCTCTTCAGGCTTCTTCGCTGCTGGCATAAATAAGCTACCGTTAAGCTGGCAGAACTGTGTCGATAGTTTGGGCGTATACTTGAATTAATTATACTTGGATTAATACTCTATTTCTAGTTTGAGATATAATAAAGCAAACTTTTGATTCGAAATCGACATTTTATACTTAAGGACTTAATAGTTTGCCCAATCCAACCGTGGGGTGACGTAGAAGTACCTAGCGTGTTCTCGCTACAATTTCTCCGTAGAAAAATAAACACGAGGGGTGGGAGGGGAAAGAGTGTTCTCTCGTCGTCGGTGGCACTCGAGCTCGTCGACGACCAAAGACGATCATTAGAGCTCGGGACAAAGAAGCGCCGTGAAGAAGCGTCGTAATAATTGCTCGATTGTAAGCAACGCAACGAGCAGAGCGCTCCGATCCTCCCGCCGCGAGCCAATGAACCGACGAATATCTCTCGTGTATTATTTTCATCGATGCTCCCCTTCTCTCTGATCCGGAGGGTGAAGCACGGATTGGACTCTTTAGAGCCGCCCCTGCACGAGAACCGGCCTGAAAACTTCGTCGTGGCTTTCTCGGCGCTCCGGAGGGAAGGGCGCCGAGTGATTCTTTGTAGCTGCGGGGTCGTCCCCGCGGTTATGTTGCAAAATCCGAAGCTCTCCCCATTAAAGGGACCCTTCCTGTCTCTCCACTCGGCCGAGCGTCTCGCTTTTTTTCCTGCCCTGTTTTCTCCCCCGAAATGACTCGACACGTTGTTCACAGACACTTCTCATGCTCGCCGACGTCACGACGGAGTTCGACGGAGTTCGCCGCGCGAGTGCCTCGGTGTTCTCCGACGGTCTCGCATTTTCGTCGCTTCTTCCAGCCGGTTCGTGTAAATAAGTGCGCGAGCGCACCGTGCAATTTAATTTAATCCCGAAAATAAATTACGGGGTGAAAATGCGCGTTTTGGTTTGTTCATAAAGTTATGAACGCACAAACATGAAGTAATACATCTCTCCATAATGGAAAGAAGGAGGAACAGAGAGTGACGATATTATCCATATAAAAAGTGATAGAAAAATTAGTAGAAAAATTAGTAGGGCTCTGGTAAGGGCCTGATTATTTTTCACTAACGTTAATCAGGCCCTAGTAGAGATAAAAAGATAAGAGCCCTATAAGATATGTAACAAATGGTTTAACGGGTCCTTATAAGGCAATATTATGAGGGTCTTATAAGGCAATATCAACAAACTCTTATAAGACAATATTAATAGGGCCTTATAAGGGAATATTTTTATTATTGTTTGAGTAAAAATATTCGTTCTTTTCATTGTAAAAAATTTAGACTGCAATTTCTTTATGTGATAAATGTTCTTTACAACCTTGTTAGTATACAACAAGAATTTTTTTATTTTAAAATTATAACATACTTCACAATAAAATATAGCATTCGTTACACATAAAAATCCTGTTACTGTTTTCATTAAAGTTTGCTGCATTTTAAAACGAAGGCAATACTAGAAAGATTCTTGGAATAGACTAATGAATAACTAATAAAATTTGTTTTTAATTGCAGTATAATAAAAAAAATCTTTAAAAGAACCAGATAGAGTGTAATAATACACTGCTACAACAATAATAAACTATGACAATTTCATTATACGCTTCAGATTTTATTAATTTTCTATAACAAAACTTGATTTTGTATATCTAAAGCATCCTCTCTCAAAAGATCCTTCTAAGGTCCACATCAGTTTTTCATGTTAAAGCGTTATTTCGTAAAATCTAACGTCCTTAAAAAACCCTTCTAAGACCTTTCTCAGTTTTCCCAAAGTTTTATTTATTAAATCTAGAGCATCCTTAAAAGATTCTTCTAAGGTTTCTTATCAGTTCTCCTTATCAGAGCTTTATTTCGTAAAATCTAGAGTATTCCTAAAAGATCCATCTCGAGGCCTGATGTAGTAATAATAAGGTATCCTTTTTTAAGGCATCCTATTTTCAGCCTTATCGGGACCTTGTGCTTCATGAAGATGGCCCTAACAATTTTTTGTTCGGATATTTCAAAGATAAGAAAATGAAGACATCTTTGCTCTACTCGACGAGAAACTGAGTGATCTCGACAGCATCGGCGTGAAATTTTATATCGGCACGAATATTTATTGTTATTCACTGATTTATCTTACGACGTTTCATTTAAGTTTACAGAGTGAACGAGTTTCCCTCTTCAGAACGGCCGTCTCCGTCGTGATCCTTTCGAGTGTCGTTACGGCGCGGCCGCATATCCGTCGAGCCTGACCCCGCGTTGCATCCGGACGCATCCTCACGATATCGGCGTCTTATATAAAAGCCGTAGGACATGATGGGAGGATTCGAGCGACATTCTACAGAGATTTGAAAACTCTCGAGGGGGAGGGGCGAATATAATGGCCGCGGTTATCCGGGGATCGAAGACGCGAGAAAATCGAGAGTATGCTTTGCATGTTCGGTTATCCATCCTGAACGTGTTGAGCGAAGGTCACGACATAGACGGGGAATACATTCTTTTTTTAATAGCCGTGTCCAAATTTAAACATGACGTGCCTATTACGCGCGAGAAAATAATCGGCCACCTTTTCAGAAAATCGAGACTGCCGAGACGATTGCCGAGATTTCTTGTGTCTGGTTGGTTTGCATCCTTTGACGCAGACTATCGCACGATCTTGATTGTATCGCAAACGCAAACCTCGCTGCGAGCTTTCCCCTCGCCCCGAAAGCGAGCACGCAGAGACCTTTATTTCTCCAGAGAAAAAAATTCTCAATTTCGCGTCGCCACGAGGCACGCGTGCGCGCGCTGAAGTTATGCCTCCTGCAAAATCAGAAACACCCTTCCTCTATGACGAGCCGTAAAAGTCGCGGCACCGCCGGTGGGTATATCGGAAGGGCTCCACTGGAGGAACAAGGACGCGTCGCTCGGCAGGGAGGGCGCAGGCACAGAGGGAGAATGGCGAGAGAGCCCCGTTAGATTGAGTTTCAAGTTGTTCGCCGACGAAACCGTCGCCCGGGCATCTCCCGTTGTCCTTTCGCTCAGCGACGAGAAGCTCTAACTGGAAGCAACGGGTCTAGGGCGGCGGGGTGGGAGGGAGCGGAAGGAGGGATGTATCTAGCCATGGATACACCGTGAACGGGGGGTGGATACGGGGTCAAATGGGGAGGATGGTTCGGGATGGTTCACAAGACGAAGATCCTATACGAAGGACAATACCGAGTCCGAGGCTCGTTCGCACGTGTTCCACCGGGAGTACGATTTCTTGTTGCGTCTTTTCGCCCTGGCTCTCGCCGCGCTCTTCTTGCTTGCCCGTCGAGATCAATACGTGCAAATCGATTCTCGTCAAGGGGGCAGAGTTCGCTCGGCCGAACGATAATCCCTCGGAGCACGGGCGAAAAGTACTCTCGCGCAAGTTTTTATTAAAAAAGGAGACCGTCGTTGTGTCGCGCATTTTGAGGAGTGAAAGGATCGTTCTGCACCGGCGGCTGTCCTTTCCGGTGCGCTTCCACCGTCTACCGAGTCTACATCAGGTCTGTGGAGAAAGAAATAATAATAAAACTGGATATAATTTATCCAGGCATTGCTGATAGGATGAGACACTTGTGTAAACAGGCCACCTGATTAACTTTGAAAATATGCAGGATAGAAAAAAAATGCTAAATACAGAAATTGTTTTAAGTGACGCATCACATAGCGATACCAATATGACCTTGAACAGCGTCATCAAGGTTACGGGAAGATCAGCTTGAATTTTTTAAACTCCCATTTTTTATCATATCATCTTTTTCTACCAGTTAATTTAAACAACTTTTGCCCGAAACATTTTTTTATTCTATTATTTTTTTTATTCTAGTTAACTTTTATATTCATATTTTTATTCTATTAGTCTCCAACTTGTCTTTTATCCTTCCTTACGGTGGATGTTGATCGTGAATAAGTGGAAAAATTAATATTGCCGGAATTATGAACAATTCTTTATGTTAATTGAAGTAAGTCATTTACTTGCTCCCCGTGCCTTTGTATTCTCTATAATTGATCTATCTAATTTGTGTATGTCATTTATCGGTGAAGAGTTTAAAGGAATCTTTAAGAAAATCTCTTCGCTCTTGTAAACAGCAATGTAAACAGTAAATGTAAACAAACATCTATTTTCTTCCTATATACACGCTTCACCCAAGCAATTGTTAGTCACACATCCTCGTGAATCCAGTTGCAGAAAGAGAGAGAGAGAGAGAGAGAGAGAGAGAGAGAGAGAGAGAGAGAGAGAGAGAGAGAGAGAGAGAGAGAGAGAGAGAGAGAGCTATCACAAAGTTTTCGCAGTACGGTAAGAATGACATCGTATCGCTCTAATTAAGAAGTGGCGGGGAATGCATTTCATATATGGCCGTGCAGAAGCAAATAAATCACACGCTTGAATTAAAATGAATAATTGTTCACAACTCCGACAATATTAATTTTCCAACCCGTGTTCATTAGGACTTTTCTCCTTCATCTTGTGATTACTGCCTGTCCTTATAATCCTGGACCTTTTTTTTTTTAACATCCTGCATACACAGAATGACTCATTTTGATACATCCATTCAAATATCTCGAAAAATATAAAAGATACGGAAAAACGTTTCGGACAAAAGTTGTTTGGTTTGAAGGAGGATATAAGACAACGACATCATTTTATTTATAGATGATGTCACTTTCATGATTTTCACTGATCATCGCTTTTGTCTCAAATGGAAACCCCAATTTTTTATTATATCATCTTTTTCTATCAATTAATTTCAATAACTTTTGTCTGAAATATTTTTTTTATTACCTAGTATTTTTTGAGATATTTAAAGGAAACTTGGTAAGTTTTCCTTACGATATCTCGGTAACTATTTGTTGGAAGAAAAAATGAGGTTTTTATTATATTTGATCTGAAGAACACATGCTGTTACAATAGTGCCTTAATTTTTGTTAATTTAATGACCTTTGGAAATTTCAAAATCACCAAGTTAACAAAATTAAGGTTCTATTGTGACAGTATATTCT